GATGAATAATAGTATGCATTATCTTCGTCATTTTATTAGAGATGAGTAACTTTCGAAGGCTACCTCGTCATCAGTCTATTGAAATCCGCGTTCTTGAAAGGATTAAATTGGTCCCGTAGAAAGAGAGTGAGGGGAGCGTCAGGATAACAACCAACTGCAAGATACTCCACAAGCCAATACTCGCTACAGAACAGATTGCCCTTGTATTTTCACACGGTAAAAAATGTTCACTCGTATTGTCTGTAACAAAGCAACCGTTGTCGTATGCAACGTTTACCGCCGGTTTCCTATCACGAGTGAGAATCTGTGCGCCGAGTTGCATGACTCGAAGCATGAGCTATTGGCTGCCGCTTCCGGCCAGAACTCTTTCATGAAGGTTTTTTAATTGAATTGAATTGAATTTGCCTTATTTTACGTAGCGAGGCTCGGGCCATCAGGCCCGCTCTTTCGTCTGACCACGCAAATTTCGCTACGCTCCTTTCATCAACTAGCAGAGAAAGGATGTATTTCTAGGGGGCGAGAAACTGGCGATTTGAATTCAGCTCAGTAGTAGTTGTAAAGTAAGTAAATCTACTAACATGGGATAGACGGCTTTATTTCCCCTCCGAAGGAAGACGTACGAAAGATTTTGTCGCCCTTAAAAATCGGCTTCGATCGGGTTTGAACCCGCGAACTTGGGTACAACAGTCCTGTACGCTAACCACCAACGCCGCCGCCATTTTGCTCCATTATTCCGCAAAATGACCCGGAAGGATACATAAATTTATTATGATCGGAATTCTAATTAATTTTAAATAGAAGTTTAAAATATTTCTGCATTGCTGTTTCGTGAAAGAAACAGAAAAATCTGGAAAACGGAGTATTAAAAATGCAGAACATAGAAACATTCTAAAAATTATTTGGACGCGATCCACCCCCAAACTGAATGAAAAGGTAATAAAGAACTTCCGACTTACCCTTGGCAGATTAATTACGATGGTTACATTATCAAAAACAGTTTTTATAATGAAACGAAGCTAAAGACATAAACTGTAGTGTGTCTGTGTGTGTGGGTGTGCGTGCGTGCGTGCGTGCGCACTTGCTAGTGCGGTGGGACCTTCAGTTCTCTCGTCGTTACACCTCTCTGTAATTCATCTTTCTGTCATCTTGATGTGGTCTGCTCTTGAACTTCACGGACAGAAAAAATAACGAATGATCTAGGATACAGTGATCAAGATGCTTAAATTCTTTGCAATAATTAATATCATCATCATTTACAATAAATGGAAGTGACGAATTTCCCTATTCTGTTTTACTTTGAAGCATCGACCATTAAAACGACCCACTCTCCTAAGGAGTAATGCCATCATGATTTATTTGAAAAACAGGACCATACATCCATCAATTGTTTGAACGACATTGGTTGTCCGTTTCCGCGTCGTTGTCCCCGACGTCGCAACCACTGCCATCCTGCTATCGCCTTTTCCCCCGTTCCTTTGCGTGCGGTATGATTTTTTTCCTCTGTGTAATTTTGAGAGCATTTGGGTGTATTGGATTCTATTGTGAAGAAATTTGTGTGGTGGGAAGTAATTCGGTTGCCACACGTAGTGTTCTAATGACATTTTATTTCGTGCTCGGTGGGAATTTTACATGTAGGTTAGATGCGACATTGTTAGGTGTGATGTACAACTCTTTGAGCTTCAGCGTCGTTTGCGGTATCCGGAGGGAATATTTTCATCAAGATTACGTGCGGATGACAAAATGACCATGACGCGCTAGTTGTCAATAACCAAACTGGACCACTTACAAACAATCCTTTTCTATCCATTTTCTGAACAGACAACTGCGAAACATGCCGTGCAAAAATGGCTTAAAGCGTATGGGTGAGAAGTTAAATTGAGGAAAGTGTGCCCCTAAGATCCTGGAGTCGAATCTGGAAGGGGCGTTCTAAACGCCTTACCAGTGATGTAGGTGGGAGTGATCATATGTAACACGTGTTCCTTTCAACACGCTTTTTATTGTTCTTGCACGTTTATTCGCCCCACTCGGCAGTAGGCCGTGGCTGTGAGGGAAGGAGGAAGGAAGAAGCCAGCGGTGGCAGGCAGCGGTCGTTCGCACTTCCGCCAAAGAGCATAGCGACAGTGACTAAAAAGGCAAAATGTTTCCTTCTTCAAATTTTCAATGCAATCGGGATCGAGCACTTCGTACCTGTAATTAAAATGAAGACTTTGACATCCTCATTTGTGAAGAAGAAAAGGATCGAGAGAAGTTACCGCTTCGAACTCGCCTACTATCTATATTATGTACTACTATAGCATCTCTGTATATAAGCTGAAAGCTCTAACTGCAAACTCGTCTAAGGCCAGACGATCTTGGTACATGGAAACTTGTCGATCCATCAAGTATATCGTCAGAAAACACCGAAAAAGTTCGCCGATCTAATCATGGTAATTACACATCTCCACTTCGATAATATTAATGTGACATCTCGTTCTTTGATAATAAGAATTCATACGGAACCACCTCAAAAAAAGCAGTCTTCGCATTTTACATTATTGAAAAGTCAATGGACTTACATCACTGTTGCTTGTGAAATTCTCGTAAAGATCTTACCGCATCCGCCTCGGTATCAGTTATAATTTAATCACCCATTGGTAAACGGATACTTCAAACATTAATGTTGTGTGTCACTGCATCTTTATTGCTCATGTACTCGTAAGATCGGCCTGTACGTAAGCCTGGAGTGGCCGCGGTATGCAGCTTCGCTGGCGAGATCAGGGCTGCCACTTCCTGGAAAACCGGGAAATTGATATGAAAAAGTCCGGGAAAAATCAGGGAATTGTTCGAAGTCAGGCATTTTTTTATTTCTCATTACAGAACGTAATTATTACAACCCGTACAAATTTAAAATGCTTTAAGAGGTTTGCTGCTATTTGCCATTTGGATTCGATGAGTCTCACGCTCTTCTTCGCCTATCAACATGATTTGAACATTTCTATCGAAATCGCCGGTGTTCGCAGGGTTCTTCAGTGCAGCTGTCCTATTGGCAGCACTTGCGCCGCCGGCGAGGCGGGCGAGGTGGCCACAGCACCCTAGGCGATGAATGACAAGAATCGCTAGAGAGTTTACTCTCCAGATGCCGCGACGTGGCTCAGAAGCTTTTTTTAAATTGATTTATTGACGTGGTAGAATGTGATGTAGACGTGGTAGAAGATGCACGTGGTAGAATAAACTAGTGGTACTGCAGAATTGAATTGAATTAAATTAATGTCTTATTTTACGTGGCGAGACTCGGGCCATCAAGCCCGCTCTTCCGTCTGACCACGCAAATTTCGCTACGCTCCTTTCACAAACTAGCAGAGGAAAGAGGTATTTCTTGGGCGAGAAACATGCTATCTTGAATTTAGCTCAGAGGCGTCATTTAGGCTTGAGGATCTTTTACATGCAAGTAAATCTACTAACATGGGACAGCAGGCTTTACTTCCCCTCCGAAGGAAGGCGTACGAAGGATTTTTAATGTTTTATGCAGAATGGCTTAGACTTTTCCGTATTCGTTTTCTATTTCCTTTGGTCTGGGTTAGCTATTCAAACTTGCCACATATTATTGCCTGCTGCCATCTATTGCCGCCCAAAGTTACATTTTTTGACGTTTTCTTGATTTTTCGGTTTCCTAATTGTAAAGCGGAAATATTATTTTAAAATTATTAAAGAACAGTAAAACCACGTCTTAAAAATGTGGAGCTGTTTTTTAAAAAAAACTGTCATTTAAGCGCTACTGTAAATTCGAAATTTAAAGCTCTTATTCACAGAAATTTGAGTTTTCGAAAAACTTAATGTGAAGTAATGTTAAGTGCAATAGTGTTTACAAATTTCTGGAAATACGCAAATCAACGGCGTGAAAAATCTCTCACAAAATTTACATTTATGTAATTTTTGGAGAGAGAAAATCACCGAAATTAACTCTACGTCATATTAAAGAGTGGAATTACCACTATCCGATTGAAAAGTTTGAAGAAAAAATTTGAAGACTTTTTTGAGGAAATTGCGTTTGAACGATTCTGAAAATGCGTTGTGTTGAGGTCGTTTTCACAGAAAACGGACTTCGAGAAACTATACGACAATATTTGAAGCACTCATAAATACAATAATGTGATCAAATTGCCGATAATATAAATATTAACAACATGAGAGAAAAGTAAAAAAAAATGTACATTTTTGTAATTTTTGAAAAAAACAATAGAGCAATATGTTGTTTGTCATCTTATAGAGTACATTTAGCTCTATTCCTGTCAAAAGTTGTTAAAAAAATGAGCCATTTTTGAGAAAATCTTGTTTTTGTAATATTTTAAAATTACACATATTGCACGCAATATTGCGTGAAAACTTCTAAAAATTTCAATGTACATAACCTTAATGAGAGAACTCACTATGGAGAACAAATTTTATTTGAAGGAAAAATCTCTATTTTGAATTTTGTAGTTGTAGGAAGACGGCCTAAAACGTTTGAAATTTTCGAATATTCAGTGTTAAACCTGAAAATCGGACCTATGCCATTTTTATAAGTGTATTTTACTCTTCTTACAAGAAATTTAAAGAAAAAATTTGGAGCAGTTTTTGAGAAAATTTAGAAAGTGTCCGGCGGGTTTCATGTAAAGTACCCTCAAATTATGAAGAATTAATTCAAAATCTCAAAAATTCGACAAGAGCCAGATCGACACGGGTTTCTTCGATTTGGGAAAAAATCCTAAGCGTGGTTAATCCTACGCGCTAGTAGTGTTTATGCTACTATATGCTACTAGTATTTTGACTAGACGGTGAGAAGGACGGACGTTTAGGAAAAACAACACACTTTGTCGATATCAGGGGACCCCAAAACCTGTAATATCGTTGAAATGTGAATTTCGATGTTCCTCAGCATTAAATAACTTTCTCGATACGTCTATTACATCGTATATACCTACGTATGTATACGAGAAAATAAAAAGCACCCAATTTACACAATTCAATTGTTTTTTCATGGCATGTACTCCGCGTTCTTTTCCTGGCTCGCTTTGTGTTTGCCAAATGCACTTGTGTGTGTGTCTGGGGAGGGGGTCTCGAGTATTCGAGGAGTCGGAAACTCGCAGTACAAGTGAGGTGCTAATTTTCTCGTTTCACAAAGAACAAAGTAGAAGCAGAAAAAACCGAATCCTTCCTGTCTTTACAATGACCGTAGACTTCTCTAGAAAGTATTACAGCTATGTTGAGATGGAGTACTGTCGAATCCTAGGATAGATTTCTCTGGAATTAAGTCATATGTCAGGCACTATGGGATATTCTTTTTAGTGAACATTTTTATGACTTACTACAGCAAATAAGCCCTTCAAAATTTAGAGAGAAAAATAGCGAGTTTAAATATTTCATAGTGTTATTGAATTGATTTGATATCACGAAGATTGCAAGTATTAGAAACATTATAAAGGGATAATCATGACGGGTGATGACAAATAGGTCACTGATTCAGTGTTTCAACTACCCCCTGGAAAGAAGCCAACACTTTTATTCTATTAGAATATGTGAAGAAAAAAGATTGCAATGATTGCATAAGAATCTTCCTATGCTGGGTTCTTTTCGAAGAATCAAATTATGGCTTCTAAAAAGATGGTGCTAAATACTTTCAGTATATAAGTCTAATAGTATTAGTAATCACTTTCGCAGGAAACTTCATTGTAAAACTAGAAATGCTGCAACAGCTCATAGTTTCTCGCATATTTAGGAACGGTTATGTTTGTATTTGCAATATATCTACCCTATTGACACTTCAGCTATCACTTGAAAAAGTACAAACAAATTCAAACGAAGCGCCTGCGGTGCATGTCTGCAATTATTTCAATAGTCAGGAACTCTCTCTTACTGCTACAGAAGAAACAAACGTGATAGATCTCTACGGTTATAATACTTGCAGAACATTATACAGACAACGAAGGTTAATTGTCCCACCAGAATTTTTGTTTGAACCAAAATAAAAAATGGAACCGTACTAAATGGTTGGCACCCCGTTAGTAGCCCATTGTTTCATGAGAATTTTCGATTGTTGCAAAAAAATAATTAAAGATCCGGCCATTTTAAAGTGGCAGTGAGAGACTCACGGTAATCCCAACACCATCTCAGTCACCATCATCGGAACCATTCTAATTAGTTTTTAACTCGTTTGTTCCGGATTGTTCCACCAGAACTTTCGTTTGTATCAAAACAGTTAAGATAATGAAATAATAACGTGGTGGTGACACTTCACACTGTCGCTGGTTCGTGTATGCCAATTGCATTCGATTGATTTTTTTCTGACGTCCATTCGTCCGTTTATATTTAGAGAAGTAATATTTCATTTCTGTCGCTCTCTGTCGGCATAGTTTTGAGGCCCACTAATTTGTGCAGCTGTCATTTGACTTTTTTCTTAACCCTTCATTAGTTGACCTCAAAATTGCAACGCAAATATACACGTGGATTACAATGTAGTCCATTTTGACCGGTTGTTAGGTGCCCTATTTTTCGGAATACGTTTGGTCGATCTGGGTCTTGTAACCTCATGCAATCCTTTTTTATTTTGTTTTTCAAACAAGTATGGATCTAGATTTATTTAGTAAAAAAAAAGTATATGACGTATGAGGGAGAAGATAATATGCGCAGGTTTTCTTGAGTTCCAGAATTGTTTCCCATAATTTTAATTATAAATAGTTGAAAGATGAGTAAAAGTTGAAGATAAATAAATAAAAATATTTAAAAAAGCGCGAGATTAGCAACATTTGAAAAAGAAGACATTTTCGTTCTCGAGCTGTAGTAAACATTTTTGTTACGGTAAACGAACTGCAGATTTGATTTTCTGCATTGCTAACAAAATAGTAACTTGCCCTTACCTCTACTCCTACCATTACAAGCAAAAGGAGAGTTCAAACATGCGCATAGTGAAGCTACATTTACGTCCAGGAGCAAAACAAGGGGCCATCTCAGCATCTATTGGACGGAGTTTACTTTTACGTTGTCTCAGGAAGTGTTAGAAAACATTTGATGAGAAACGAAAGTCGGCTAAATCTTTTTTGCTTACATCGTGATCCCTATCTAAACTTAGACTTTTCTTTAACATTTATTTATCTTACGATTCATAATCGGGCTTCTCTTCATAATATTTATCTCCAACATCGTCTTCTAAAAGAAACTCTCGTATCTTTTCTACTCCATCTACAATCTACCTACAGGTCAAAACATATACTCGTGTAGTATAACAAGGGGAATATACATAAAATACATGTAATTTTATCTGTTCTAATAGCCCAGTCAAATGAGACAAATAAGAGTGAAAAAAATTCTGGTGATTTCAAACATGGCATGACTGAGTGTTGGTTCCTACCGCACATTTTACTAAAAATCCTGATGTGTGGGAGGTGACCTGGGGGTAGGGGGTGTTTAAAGGTTTTTTACTTTTTCGCCACCGACTTCGTAGTAGAGAGAAAGTAATGTAATGCTGCGTGAAAAACCGGCGAATTTTCGGCAGAAAACTCTCTTTACAGGGCCTTGATAACGGAAAAGGGGATAAATCTAGTTGCTAAATTTAGGACAAAAATCATTTAACACGTAGTGTAGCCAGAATCCATGTTTTGTGGGTCCTTGATACCGAAAAATCTGTCCGTCTGTCTGTGAACAATGCTAATGCTAAACTGTTCAAAATCTTGGTATTACTCAATTGATCTCGCTGATGTCGTTGAATTTGACACGGAAATTTTAATTTTGTTTTTAGGGGGGTACTTTGCATGAAGTCCCAGAGAAATTCTCCAAATGTTCAAAAAAAGCTGCAACGTTTTGTATTAAAATTTGCTGTTAGTGTGGAAGTCGTTTAAGGAACTGGTGCAAGTTTCATTTTCGTTGAAAACCCTGATTTTTCGACAGTTACAACCAAAAAAATCGACGCCTTTCTAAAACTAAAGTATTAAAAATAGATTTTTTCACTTAAAAAGTCTGTTCCTTAAAAGTTTTGAAACGTGTCTTGTACAATTTTTCGATAGTTTGAGTACTTTTCGCGTAATTTTGTGTGAAATATACACAATTTTTAATTTTGTTTAAACAGTTTTATCAATTTTAATTGAATTTTGACCTCGGATAGCGTATATCACAATTACGAGGATGGTGCGGGTCTCATGTTCGTTGAAAATTCTGAATTTTAAAATTAAGACAATTCAATTTTTTCTGCGTGTTGCTTCATCAACAATTATGAAAATAAACATTTTTCTTTCATGAAATGTGTTCATCTTCAAATAATGTTATGTTCAATTTTTGAAAAATGAGTATTTTTTGCGAAGTTTTGTGTCAAACATAGGCAATTTTTATTTTCTTTAAAACATAATCGGCACATTTTTTTATTAAATTTCGATCTTAGCGTAAAGAACACCCAAGCGAATGGTGCAAGCATCATGTTTGTTAAAATACTTAATTTTTCGAAAAATTAAATTTTTTCGGTGTCTTCCTAAAACTACAATTGTGAAGATACTTTTCTTTCTTAATCAAATGTGTTCATCAAACATATCTTCAAATAAGGTCATGCTAAATTTTTCGAAAGTTTAAGTATTTTGTGTGTAATTTGTCGTCAAACATAGACACTCGCTTCGAATTTCCTGCGCTTGAACGTACAGCGAATGGTGATTTCAGACATGTAGATGCTACGTAAGTTTGAATTTGTATATTATTTCACATTGCTTTGTTCATTTCTTACAATTTAACTTTTGTTATACGTTTACAAATTAATCTTTTATAAATGATTTAAAATCTATTATACATGAAATAAAAATTGCTAGCCTTCAGGGAAAATCAGTTTGAAATGCACCAATGGCATTCCGCGCCGCGAGACAGCAGCTGAATTTCTGTGAATTACGTCTTATTGTTGGAACACGATTGAGCTGTATGAAAAGCTGTTATAATAGTCAAATTTGTGTTGATATTTGCTTGAAAAATATTTAGTTTTAGCACCAAATGTATGATTTGTAATGAGGTTTTCAAAGAATGATGACTGAGATGTGTTGATTCGGAGATAATTTGTGCTATAAATAGCATTACATAGCCATTACTAAGGGCGAGAAAGTACGTGCTATTTTGTCACCACTAGTTTTCTTCGTTTTTGAATGTATCTCAAATCCTAACGAAAATTATGCTCTTTACAAAATGAAAGTAGGCAAAATAAAAATAGTTCGTATAAGAGTGTACTGTAAAATTAACTCATTTAAAGTTATAGGCTCGAAAACTTTTTTTTATTTATTGAAAGGCCATTTCTTAAATACCTCCCTTATAAAAATGATGTAATGTATGATACTTTGTAAAAGTGATGTATGATCAATGCACGGAGGTAATTTTATTTTTATTCAACGTTTATGAACAAAATGTTTTTGTATATTTTACGAAAAATTTTTACCTCTTATCAAATCTTATTGTGTACATACTTGCGAGTATCCGAGGTCATTGGGCCCGACACTATCTCGGGTACGAAAACTGATAATCCATAGTTTATTTGATAAGGATTATGGGCAAATATTCCGTAATGTTTGTGTACACAATCGACATGCACATTACGCAAAAATAACGCGAACTTAAGAGGGACAATTACAAGGAAAACAATATCATTGACGAAGGATACACTCAATGGTTGACGAGGGGATTCAATTATTGCAGAATTGAGGAAAACCCAATTGTTCGTAATTTTTGCGTATTATTTGGGCATGAAACGTGTATCAGCAAAAATCTATGCCGAAATTGTTGAACTTGGCGCCCAGTGACTTACTTTTATTCCCAAAGCTTAAGAAATCCTTGAACGGAAGAGTTTTTGTCAACATTAAAGAAATAAAATCAATCACTGAAGAAGCTAAACGCCTTAAGTAATTCGGGTCTCAGGGAAACGTGTGCATATAATACAGGTACATTATAGTACAGGTGTTTGGCCAGTGACAGAGTAGTTTGCAAACGAAGCATTGAAAAGTAACGAATAATTGGTCTTCGTATTTCGTTCTGCCAGACTTGACGGTCGTCGCCATGCTGTACGGAGAGCCAGAAGTGTTGAAAAACATTATGAAAGTGACATGAAGTGACAATTTTCAACGGTGACCAACCCAAAATAACCCGATAAAGGTGTAGTTGAAATAAAATGTTTTTTTTTTATTTCAATGACTGACGAACAAGGTAGAATTTTTATATTTGGCCGCATCTAAAATTACCACTAATACTGTTGCAAACTGATGCTCGAAGCTCATTGGCTGAAGTCTGATACGATCCGGTATAGCTCACTCATCTATTTCCGGCATGGGAGGTCCCCTTGTAAGTGGCCGTCTACTTGGTGACGGTTGAATCCTGGATGCCAGCTACCACGGAACGGATTGGTGTAAAAGTTTAACTTATAATACTTAAGATTTGTTGTAGAAAAAATATTTTATGAGACTGAATGAAATGGATATTAATACACTCGCATGTAGTCTACGATGTTTGCTCTTTTCGCCACATCACTTCACACTCCTGTATTAATACGCTTTATTACATCGTCGTTTTTAATATACTATTATGAAACTATGATTTTGAATTGTATATTTTATAAAATTTGTCAGCGCGTGAAAGAGGCGTTAATGTTCGTGTTGTTTTTGCAGAACAATTACATCAAGACTTCCAAGTACACGGTGCTGACGTTTCTGCCGCTGAACCTGTTCGAGCAGTTCCAGCGCTTGGCCAACTTCTACTTCCTGTGCCTGCTCGTGCTGCAGCTCATCCCGGCCATCTCGTCGCTCACGTGGGTGACGACGGCAGTTCCACTCATCGGGGTGCTGCTGCTCACCGCCATCAAGGACGCCTACGACGACTACGTGAGCTCATTGCCACCTGTCCCCTATGTGTAGTGCATGCGTTTTATCGTGGGAGGTGGCGGTGATCTTCCTCCGCTGGTTGGCGAGGCAACATGTCGGCTCGCTGTTTTTTTCCTCGACCAGGTATCTCTCATTAGCGGGACACCGCCCCAGTCGGGACGAGCTCTAAGCTCCCGGCCGGTCTCCCAGCTAGTGTGATAGTGTAGTGCGTGTAAGTAAGGGGTAAGGATAGAACAAGGAAGAGGAAGGAAAAATCGCGCGCCCTCGCTAGCCCGTTTGTTTGAGTACTGCTCTGGCATTTGCTTGGAGTTGATCGGAGAAACTACGGAAGATTACCGATCGGAGCAGCCGGCCGCTAGAAATCTCCAGGGAGCGGCTGAATTCGACGTAGCTCTCTAGCCAGTGTCGACAATCCTGCCACCCCGCACTGTTGGGAGTGAAACCGTAGGACCTCCCGGTCAGAGGCCCAGCAGGGTCATAAATTGATGCCCTGAGCTACCTAAACCGGTACCTCTCGCCTGACGGCTCCCTCCGTTCTATTTACTCTTTGACTTCCGCACCACTCTTATGTGACGGACACCGTTCAGCCGGTTTTCTCTAAAATTGATATTCCTCATTCGATCCGACTGATGTCGCGGTCCCTTTCATTTGAAACTGATATTTTATTTCTGAGGGGTACTTTACATGAAACACCTGAGATTTTTCCAAAGTTTGAAAAAAATTGCTCGATCGTTAAGGATTAAATTTTGTTGTTGAATAGTGTAAAGGACGTTTAAGAGAAGAGTGCAGGTCTCATGTTCAATGAAAGCCCTGATTTCTTGAAAATTGCAAAGTCATGGACAATTTTCAAACACTTTATTTCTTCTCGCGTAATTTTGCGTGAAAATACAGGAGAGAGAGAACGTGCTGTTTGAGCACCACTAGTTTCCATTGCAAGTGCTCTTTCGTCGGTCACTTCAGATGGGCGAAGTAGAACACGCTCACATTTCCTTATTGTTCTTGGCCTCTGTAGTTACGACATACTTCATGGAAATATGAAGTGTCGGACGTATTTGTCTCACTGAGGCCTGAAGTGGTGGCATGCTAGCCGGAAGCCATGTCAGTCTCATATGCGTGTCATATTGTTTTACCTGAATCTATCGTTGCGAAAGAGGAAAAATGATATAAAAAGGAAGGAAGTTTCAAAGTTGTCCTCGTTCATTTAATCAAAAAATAACCATTGGTCCCAATGGAAATTACGCCAAAATTATTGTGGCAGTCGACGTGTAAAAGAGGTCCAGAAAACCAAGTTAGCATCGCATCAGAAAAAATGCATATTTTGTCAATGAATTACCTTATTTTTAGTAACTCGTGTGGAATCCGATTTCATTGGTGACCTATAGTTCCACAAAAATTGGCCGTTAATTGATATGCCACTAAATCAAGATAATGAGGCTACTGGAAGCGTAAATCAAATCTAATTGAGGTGATTGCTATGAAGTGAAGTATGTTCTCTTTAACATTTCCAATCACTATAAATGCAAATACAATTTAAATAAGGAATTGAGTATCATTGGACTCCTCTCGGCGAATATCAAAACAAACCCTTGGCTTCCCACTTATTCTCACAGTCTAGAAACATTCCTTCCGTCCTCGACGAATCAAACAGGCAACTAGACTTGAAGGCGTAATTCATATTCTGTAGAAACCTTACCCATACATAAATATTAAGAGTCACCGGCTCTTATGGCTGAGGACATGAATTGAGGCGTTTAGAAGAATAACGATAGATCCCACCAAAGTTCGTTCTGAGATAAATTAGATGATGATAGAGCTGGGATAGATCTGAGATAAATTTTTCCGTTTTCGTATACGTCACTTATTTTCCGGACAATTTTTTTTAATGTGGGATTTGAGAGTTTTGCCAAATCCCAAACCATTTGATATTTCAACATATGTTAGGTATATGGCAGGAGTGTACCGTCATATTTCTAACTGAAAAAGCATGGTCGGTTGAGATCTGCATTTATTATCTTGATGATCGATGATCTGATCGATGTCTCTGCAGTGCCTCGAGCCGGGAGGTTCTAGGGTTGGAATCCCGGCGATGGCAGGATTTTCGACTAGGTAGCTAGGTCGAGATCCGCAGCTCTGAAAAATTCTTGCGGCTGGCTGCTCTGATCGACTTTTCCGTGGTTCCTTCGACCAACTCGAGGCGAATGCTGGGGCAGTGCCCTAACAACGGGGCAAAGACCGCACACGATCTTTCCTGCCTCTTCCTCTCCACCCCGTTATCCACACACACACACACACACATACACACACACATACATACACATACACACACATACATACACATACATACATACACATACACACACATACACACACACATACATACACATACACACATACATACACATACACACATACACACACATACATACACATACACACATACATACACATACACACACATACACATACACACACATACATACACACATACATACACATACACATACACACATACACATACACATACACACATACACACACATACATACACATACATACACATACATACACACACATACATACACATACATACACACACATACATACACATACATACACACACATACATACACATACACACACATACATACACATACACACACATACATACATATACACACACATACATACACATACACACACATACATACACATACACACATACATACACATACACACACATACATACACATACATACATACACATACACACACATACACATACACACACATACACATACACACATACATACACATACACACATACATACACATACACATACACACATACATACAGCTTTAAGCGGCTGGGGCGGCTCCTTGCCGGTGGGAGATACCTGAAGGTGGAAAACCCTGCAAGTGGACGGGTAGGTCAGCGGCGGATCTCGCCAACCAGCGAGAGAAGATCAGCGCCACCTCTCGCACTGCACTTCCGGAAGCACACCCAATCAATCGGTGAAAAGCTTAACCTAACAAGAAGTGTGCGTGGTGTGTAGTGGTGTGATATGGTGGCGGGCGTTGTGTTCCAGCAACGGCACACGAGCGACTCGCAGGTGAACACGCGGCTGTCGAAGGTGCTGCGCGGCGGGCGGCTGGCGGAGGAGCGCTGGGCCGAGGTGCAGGTGGGCGACGTGATCCGCATGGAGAACGACCAGTTCGTGGCCGCGGACGTGTTGCTGCTCTCCACCTCCGAGCCCAACGGGCTCTGCTTCATCGAGACCGCGGAGCTCGACGGGTGAGCGCCGTGCATTGTCTCTCACGCCTCTTCAGAGATTCCCGTCTATTATAGACAGACCGTTGGTTCCAGATAATCCCCCCCTCCCCTTACGCGTTCGACAATTCTAAGGTATGCATTGGCCCTCGTAGAGAGCCTTTAGCCTCGAGCAACTTTCTTAAATCTCTCTTACATTCGTCGAAATACCATTCCATTCGGGGATGGAACCAGCCGATTATTTTTTGGGGTTGGGGAGCTCATACAGTTTTATTTTCCCCTATACATACGGGAAAACCGTGTAAAACTCAACCATTTTCTATGAAACTTAGCTCAAAATTTCGCATTTTCAAAAATGCTCAAATGCCATTTTCTCAAAAACTGTTTCAATTTTTTGTTCATCTAACTTTTCTAAACGATAGTGCTAATTGTACTCTATAATATGACGTAAAAAGTTAATTTCGCTTGTTTTTGTTGTTTTCAAATGGTTTTCAACTCCCATAAAAATTGAAACTAATGAAGGAAAGGAAAACGGAACCATATCAATCATCTCTCTCCTCTCCCTCGATGTACTCCACTTCATTTTCTTTGCTTTGTTCTTGTATTCATACACAGTCTTTCCCTTTTGTCTCTGATACTAAAGTTTCAACATAAATGTCTTGTTGCAGAGAAACAAATTTGAAATGCCGTCAGTGCCTACCAGAAACTGCAGAAATGGGACAGAATGACTCCCTTCTTGGAACGTTTGATGGAGAAATAGCATGTGAGACACCGAACAATCTTCTTAACAAATTTGAAGGAGCATTAGCGTGGAAGCAGAAAAGGTGAGTAAAAGACAAAATACATATGAATGTCTTCTTTTTTGTTAATGTTAGATATGAAAAAGTGTAATGGTTCTTCGATTTTTACCATTAAACACATATTAAAGATATTTATAAATAATAATGTATACAAATATTGACTAATATTGCTTACGAGGAACCTATTTGACATGTTAATTTCGTTTGCCAAATCTGTTGCCAACATAACAATTGTAAGGTTTCATAAGTCCTTTTGCCGACGATGGAGGTCCAGCACACATTACTAGAAATTTTGAAAAACGAAATGAGAATTATTTAGAGTGGTGCTTGTTCCCTTAAGAGCCTTTTTCTATACACACGAAGTTTTATATGGAAATCCCGAAGCTTGGCATCTTAGGTATTGGAAATATATTAGACAGACTCGAAGATGTTTTGTGTTAATCACATTGGCCTAATGGTGGAGGCTCATTGTAAAATTCTACACACATAGCAAAGCAGCATCGTGCCTTAAAAGTAAGTTATTTAATTGTAGTATGATTTGTAAGTATGACGCCTTTCCACTCATGGGTTGCGTTAAACATACTTGCCAAAATTCACTAGTTCTGCTATACTGAGTAAATCAATCTAGACTTCACTTTTAAGATCCATGATGTTGGTACTATCTCAGAAGACGTCCAAAAAGATCAATTCCAGTTTACCTAAACTATATTCAAAACGTGTAAATAAAAAAATATGTACAAATAAAAACAATTGATATGTAAGTTTTCTCGTCGGTGCATTGTTACTATAAAGCAATTTTATTACTTTTGCTGGCTAATTTGAAAGAAATATGGACACTCAGCTTTGAAAACTGGAATGCAATAAATAAATAAAATACAAGTGAAATACTACAATTTAGTAATGTTAATATAAACTAAAAATTAAATTTTTATTCCCAAGTTATAATAAAGTAGCAAACCGCACCAAGTGCCAGGCAGAAGTATCAGATATCTTTAAGAATCGCTTGTCAGGCTGCAGGTGTATATAGTTCTGTAGTATCCTATGGGATACTTGGTTTACAACGCTTCTCTGAACCTACGAGTATACTGGAAGTTAATTTTTAGGAAGTTGTCAGACTTTTTGTTTGGGCATATTTGTCCATTTTTTCAAATCACCATTTTGTGTTGCTACTGTGCGATACAAGTATTAAAAAAAAAATATTGAACCCGAATATACTTCTCAGTATTAGAAAATGTTTAACTTTTCCAAAATAATGTAATAAATGGAGGAGAATGTGCGAGACTTGCGTTTACGCGTGTCCGCTTCCTATTCCGCGTGACGACAGAAACGTTTGTGCTGCCTCTGTCCGCGTGCGCGAGTGAGTCGTCACTTGTTTCATTGATTTTTTTCAACTGCCCCATCCCGCCTCTCCCCGGCCCACCACTCTCCGCCCACCCACCCCTCCACTCTCCGCCCCTCAACTCTCCGCCCAACCCCACCCCTCGCCTCCCCGGCCACCCCACTCTCCGCCCACCCACCCCTCCACTCTCCCGCCCTGAGCTCCCCTCATCCGCACACCCCTCCCAGTCTCCGCCCCTCTCACTCTCCCGCCACCCACCCCCCAGCCTCCGCCCCTTCCTCTCCGCACACCACACCCCCACGCCGCTTCCCCCCCCACCCCACCCCGCCCCTCTCCTCTCCGCACCCCCACCCCACCCCGCCCTCTCCTCTCCCACATCCACCCCACCCCGCCCCTCTCCCTCTCCGCGACCCACCCACCCCACCCCGCCCCTTCCTCTCCACACACCACCCACCCCACCCCGCCCCTCTCCTCTCCCCACACCCACCCACCCCCACCCCGCCCCTTCTTCCTCTCCGCACACCCACCCACCCCAGCCCCGCCTCCTTCCTGGCCTCCGCACACCCACCCACCCCGCCCCTCCTCTCCGCACACCCACCCACCCCGCCCCTCTCCGCTCGCACACCCACCCACCCACCCCGCCCCTCTCCTCTCGCACACCCACCCACCCCCCCGCCCCTTCCTCTCCGCCACCACCCAGCCCCACCCCGCCTCTCCTCTCCGCACACCCACCCACCCCACCCCCTCTCTTGCCGCACACCCCCCCCACCCCGCCCCTTTCCTCTCCGCACACCCACCCACCCGCCCCTTTCTCTCCGCACACCCACCCACCCCACGCCCCTTTCCTCTCACCCCCCCCCCCTGCCTCTCACCCCGCACCCCACCCCGCCCCTCATCTTCTCTCCGCACACCCACCCCACCCGCCCCGCCCCTTTCCTCATTCCACACACCCACCCCACCCCGCCCCTCTCCTCTCGCGCACACCCACCCCACCCTGCCCCTCTCCTCTCCGCACGCCCGCCCCTCCCCTCTCTTCATCACCCTCCCCTTCTCCTCTCCGCACACCGCCCCTCCCCTCTCTCATCACCCTTTCCTCTCTCCTCTCCGCACAACCCGCCCTCCCCTCTCTCATCCCCCCTCCCCTCTCTCATCCCCTTCCCCTCTCTCATCCCCCTCCCACTCTTCATCCCCCTTCCCCTCTCTCTCCCTATCCCCCTTATCCCCTCTCTCTCACCCCTTCCTCTCTCTCCCCTCTCTCGACCCCTCCCTCCCTTCCCCCTCCCTCTCTCAATCCCCCTTCCCCTCTCTCATCCCCCTTCCCCTCTCGCATCCCCCTTCCCCTCTCATCCCCCTCGTCTCTTCACACTCCTTTCATACCCTCCACGTTCTGCCCCTCCGGCCCCCCTCACCTCCCTCGACCTCGATCCCTCCAGGGGCGGGGCGAGGGCAGGAACGGTCTAAACATATAACACAAGATGATAGCTAGAAGTAATCCTTCTTCCTCGCGGTGATTCGCCCAAAAATAATAATGAAAGCGAATGTACAGCCGTTAGTGCAACAACACGATGCTGCACTCCCCACAGCACACTGATCCCTTGTAAGGACATAATTTTATATCACTACACAGGAATTCAAGAGTCTGTGATTCAGTAATTGATTTCCTAGATCCTCTCCATCTTCTTCCCCTCCTTCTTTTCTTCTCCATTTCTTCTCCATCTTCTTTTCACCGGAAGAGATGGCCCAGGGCATCAAGAGATGACACTGTATTCTCTCCACAGGGAGGTCCTAGGTTTGAGTCCTCGTTTATCTGCTTCCCCCTCCTCCATCTACCTTTCCCCTCCTTGGACCCATTCTTCCCCTCTTTTGTCTCTTCCTTGTTTTGTTTGTCTTTTTATTCATGTATCTCTTTCTGTGCCTGCCTCTCTTGTACATTAAGCAGAAACTGCTTCAAAAACAAGTGTAATACTTTGATACACTCCAAACTAATGATGAAGTACCCTAAGGAAATGAGGATTTCTGTTGTAAGCAGATTGTTGTTATAAATGAGTTCTTAAGTTTTCGACACCTATTGCAATATTTGCACACTAAGTAATTACAAGATGTTAGAAAATAAGAATTGTTTAAAAAGATTCATCTTCTCTTTCCTTCAGTATTGTTGAAATTGTCCAATGTAATTGACTTAATTAATTCACCATGTCTTGCATGTCTCCATTTTGCAATCTCCATGTTTTTCTCAATTGTGACATCATTTAATTTCCTTGATGTATTTCAAACTTGTAATCAACCACACTAATTTGAAATTAAAAATTACCACCCTTTCTTGGTTCTGCTCTGTGCTCCAGTGGAGCCTCTAATTCTGTGTGAGCAACAGTTGCTCCAATTCTTTGTACATATAAAAGTTAGACATGTGTAAGACATGAAGAGATGGGAAGGGAAGGAAGCTTATGTAAAATTAAATAGAGTATTGAACCTGTAGTGTATCAAATGCTGGCAGGCTGGGAGGTGTAGGGAGGGCAAGTGTATTGTGATAAATAAGTACATGTGCAATGTGTCTTTAATTGGCTAGTAATTCAAATCATACTTTCAAGATTTCATGCTTTTCAAATCATGCTTTTTAAGATTATTGTATTGTTCCTAGTACAATGTTTCGGTTTTGTATTAGTTTTTGGTAATAAAAAGTTTTTCTTTGATGTTTTAACACAAAATATCTTTTGCTTCATTAAGAGGAATGCATTTGCATTACTTTGCTAGCAGTAAATATGTTAGTAATGAGTTTCTGAAATTTAATTATTATTAAAATTATTATTCAATCACCTAAAAATATTTAAAAGTATGAGATTATATTAAAAAAGGTGACACAGAAAAAAATGTAGGATGATCTTTAAGTTATTCTTCAGCCATTTTGATTTTATTCATACATAATATTCATACAAGGAATAATAATGAGTAACATCATACGTGTATTTTTATGATTACATCATTGCATTGTGCTTTTACAGGTTTCCATTGGACAATGATAAAATTTTATTGCGGGGTTGCATCTTGCGCAATACACAGTGGTGCTATGGTGTTGTTATATTTGCTGGAAAGGACACCAAGCTCATGCAGAATTCTGGAAAAACTAAGTTCAAACGCACAAGCATTGATAGGTTGCTGAATTTCATAATTATAGGGGTAAGTAGCTTTGATAATCCAATATAAGAATGAGGGTGTAACAAATTAAGCAGTTGGAAAAGAGTTCTTATGCCCTATTTTCTTCTGTAAAACTAGTTCAAATAGTTGGAAACAACACAACAATAGCTGTTTACTTCTGAAACCTATAAAATTGGAAATGCAACACTCTGGCCACTTGAGATATTTAAAATGGACACATTGTTTAGTATATGGTAGAAATAGCTTTGAGCTGGAATACATTATGAACATTTAACAAAATGTGGAGGATATAAAAATCAGAAACCCAATTCTTGCTTGTCTTCACTAGCCTTTTATAAGACAAAGTGAATTTATTAGAGGAAGAAGTAGGAAATAGTGAAAAAGAGGCAAACCTTTAAGTTTCCATGTACAAATTAGAGATGCTAGTTCTGTGTGTATATAGCCAATTCATGAGATTTCTCAATGAATTTAAATATCATTGAACTTTCTTTTTCAGATTGTATTTTTTCTACTGTCCATGTGCCTGTTTTGTATGATTGCTTGCGGCATTTGGGAGACCCTGACAGGCCAATATTTCCAAGTGTACCTCCCATGGGACAAGTTAGTTCCTAGTGAGCCACTAGGTGGGGCAACTGTCATAGCACTTTTAGTCTTCTTTTCTTATGCCATTGTTCTTAATACCGTGGTGCCTATATCTCTGTATGTGAGGTAAGTGTTGCTTATTCATTTATTGCATTATTGATTGTTTCTGTTTATGCTTATTTTAAAAGATGATATCATTTTCTGACACATTTATCATTCACAAGTATTTCCTAGTACACAAATGAGCACTGTAATCTTGCCAAGAATGGATATTAAATAATTTAAGTAATTCTTTAGGTCTTGTTTTAAGATCATAATTACTTATAACCATTTATTCCAAACTTTGGGGCATAAATAACAGTGTTTATTGACTTGAAGTTATCATATGCTGTAAATGTTAAGTGAAATTGCAGTTTCATGTATCTTTAGTTAAATGTTGGTCTTCCTTCATCTTCACCATTGTAGACCGTGTATTTTGAGTGGAATTACAAATGTATTGACATAAAACTTGGAGCCATGAAAGGGTATTTCTCTTATCATTATTTGTGATAAAGTACATAGCAACAGTATCAATCTCCTTGCGTGCGATTCAATGGCTACTCTTGGCCTATAGCTTCTGGGCCAACAGTGCCTGCCTATATTCATATGGGGTGGGTGTAGTTTTTGTTTGTGTTGTTGTTGTTGTTGTTTTTCCCTGCAGTTTCTTCCTTTGGCCAGGGGCTTGGTGCCTTTAATAACAAGACTTGTGTAGCCCGTGCATTTCACAGAATGGCAGAAAAAACTAGACATTTATTTCTGGAGGTGGACAAAAAAATACAAATATAAAGAAAATATTTTTGAAATGTCCTTCAAAAGAATTTGGATCTGCCACTGCCTCCTCAACCTGTTTTGAGTTGGGGAACAGAACTTCAGAATCCATTTATTCCTCTAATTGTTCAAAAATACGCCCCATGGCAACGCTCTTGAAGATGATGTTTCATTGGATTAACCAAAAATCATCTTGATTGAAATAAAAAATGACCTAATTTTTTTTCCTTTCCTGCTTTCCTTCTTTCTTTTTTTCTTTGCCTTATTATACTTGGCTAAGAAAATAGCTTTTGGTGAAATCATTGAAATTTGGGGAATCAGAAATGCCAGGCAGAAAAAGAAAGGCTAGCAATAACTGCTAAATGTAATGGAGCATTTTCCATTTTCCCAAAGTTCAAATTAACAAAAACTTGAAGGTATAATTGAAAATTCTAAAGGGTTGCAGAAATGAATCTCTCTGCTCTGTGTTTAAAATTTACTGCAGTAACCTCCATCGATGTTGAGACATCTTTCTCTCAATTGAAGGATATTTTCTAATATAATCGCTGAAAATTCAATACAACACTTATGTTGTAATAAAATTAACTGTCTTTTCAAATAAGTTTTTGTTTACTCAAACCTGTGATATACACATTTTACATCCTTGTGATAAACTGTAAGCATGAATTCTTTATTAAAAAGGTTTTATTTTGCCTTTTTATTTATTTTAACAGTTTTAAGTCTTTTTGTTTGCCTATTTTAGAGATTTATAGTATGGTACCTAAAGTACTGGTATCTAATGGTAAGAAACTTTACAATACTTTATTTACATCAAAAGCACATTTTTTGCAGTGTGGAAGTGATTCGATTTGCTCAGAGTTTTCTCATCAATTGGGATGAAAAGATGTATTATGAGAAAACTGGTACAGCTGCAAAAGCACGGACAACAACCTTAAATGAAGAGCTTGGGCAAATTGAATATGTATTCTCGGATAAAACTGGGACATTAACTCAGGTTTGTTGTTTTATTAAGAATTTTTTTATTTATTACTTTTATCTGCTGAACTTGGTTGGATTTATGTACTGGAGGGTATCCATATAAAAACTGTTAGGGTTCACATCCGGAAAAATTTCAACAGTTTATGGGCCATTTACTGCAAAATTTGGGAGAATCTGAAGAAAAATTGGTGACGATGCCCCTACACCAATCACTACTCTTTCAATTTCTTCATTAATTCATTATTTCAGGACTTCTAAATAAAATGTGTTAATATATAGCCAAGTACATAACACTAACCTTGTGCACCTCTGAGATTTAAAAACAAACTTTTACAGAAAATGAAAAATATTCCAAATTGGCTCAACAATCCAGTTACGATAAGATACATGACAGCTTGACAGCATGTATCATCAATTTACAAACACATTTGAGAAGCAGATAAATAATTGTTGTCAAGAATTGTGAATTTATCTCATATAATATTACTCAATTGCTCATATATTTACTTTGTTCTCCTTTGTCATTTTTATTATTTACATTTATATTTACACACTATAAAGTGTGTAAATATACTTATAAAGTGGATCTCTGCCATTTTGCCCCAATACCATCCCCATTTTATATACAATTTTAAGCTAGTGTAAGTTCCAATAATGATTCTGATGTACAAAAGATCACAATTTAATTTTATTGCTGAAATTCACTGATCAACTCCATCAAAAATATATTTAATGTTCATGCAACGTGTGACTAGTGAGGAATTGGAACATTGCTTGTTTGACAAATGAGAATTTAAGACTTTTGGAAGAGATCTGATGCATTTCTGTCACAATTAACATTTCTATTACCCATGAGCAAAAATTTATAATTTTCAGATGTTACAAACTATGCTTGTTGCTACATTTATTGTCAATTCAGTTATGTATAGATAATTATTATGTATGAAAAAATCAAATTAAAACCCTAAAGTTACTATTTCATGCTGCAAGGTTCCATCACTCACGCCATTAATGTTCGGGACTTGTTCAAATACACAAACAATTTTTAGAGGGCAGTTAATAAAGAAATAACAAAATGTGGATTAAGGTTTTTGTTTTCAATTACTGCAAGTTAATTCTTGTTCTAGAATATAATGACCTTCAACAAGTGTTCCATTGCGGGAAAAGTCTATGGAGATATCATAGATGAAACTACAAATGAAATTTTGGAGGTCACTGAGGTAAGAAATACGTACTATTTTATTTCTATTATATTTTAATACACCAATTTCCTATTTTCTATAAAATGCTACATTTACATGCGATTTCAAATACCTTTTGTAAGGGTTGTAAAGATGAGCAGATTTTCTAAATTTGTCCCAGTCACATTATTTATTCAGAAAAATTACTTTAAGTAACTTCGGTACCCATTATTAATTGTATTTTCCTTTAGTAAATTTCAATTTCAAGAGGAGTAAAGTTTCTTTTATTTGCGTTTAATTTCTTATATTTCAATTCAAAACTGGGTGTATAGTTTTGAAATGGAATATGTTGGTCAATATGCGAAGCAGAATAAAAAAAGGGTGATATTCAATTTTACAATTTCTCAAATTTCCTAATTTATTCACATTAGTGTTCTCTTTCTTTACAAAGTTCTGCTGTGTGCTATTTATATGACCTTTCCACTCGGAAATTGTTCATCTCTAACCTTAGTCCCTTACTGTTTGTGTATCACCAAAAAAAAAAAAAAATTCTATCATTTTTTAAATTGAAGTTTCTTCACATCAATGAGAAGTAGATCCTCACCTTTTCATTCAAAGTTATGTGACAATGCTAAAAATGATTGGTTCCAAAAGATAAACAGAAGTTGAAAGTGAATATCTGATTTTACAGTTCGAAATATTTATAGAAAAAACATATATGCTACATTTTCCAGCGTACTGATCAGGGTTTGCGAAAATTGTCACACTCAAACAAGCATTTTGTATTGTATATTTCGGAGTTATAATTATTTCTCCTCCTCTCTCTTGCTCTGTTCTTTGTCTCTCGCTTTTGTTCTCTTTCTTACGCTTTCATTCTTTCGCTTGCTTTCGTTCTTTTTCTCTTGCTTTTGTTATTTCACTTACTTTCGTTCTTTTTCTCTCGCTTTTGTTATTTCACTTACTTTCGTTCTTTTTCTCTTCTTTCGTTCTTTTTCCCTTGCTTTCGTTCTCTTTCTCTCGCTCTTTCTATTTATTTTGTTCTCATTAGCTCTCTTGCACTTGTTTTCTCCTCCCCTCTTTCTCACTCGTCCTTCCCTTCCCGTCTTTCTCACCTCCCTCACTCATCCTCCCCCTCCCTTCTCACTTCCCTACTCTCTCACACTAGGCGAATGCCGTTCAGGATCCTAACGAATGGGCACAAACCTCACATGATGTGTCCTCTTCCTTGACCTGTCCTCGCCCATTACTTCCACACACCTGCCCTTACATATACAGGATTTATGGGAGATACCTGAAGGGGGAAATCCTCAAGACAACGGGTAGGTCGGCAGCGAATCTCGCCATCAAGATGTAAAAGATCACACACACACACACACACACACCTGAGTTAAAACATGCGCTTTACGTACGGGACTAATGATTTTAGCAGTTGACGCTCAAGGAATCATCTTTCTTTTTCTCTCTTTCTTTTTCTTTCTTTCGTTTTTCTCTTCTTTCTTTTTTCTCTTTCTTTCTCTTCTTTCTTTTTCTTTCTTTTTCTCTCTCTTTCTTTTCTTTCTTTTTTCTCTCTATTTCCTTTCTTTCTTTTTTCTCTCTTTCTTTTTTTATCTAGCTTTTTATCAATTAATTCAATTATTAATTAATTACGCAAAAACTAATGTAATTGGTCTATAATCGTTCAAGTGTTTTATTGTGAAGTTGCGTAATTAATTAGCTATTAAATCGTTGTGCAAGATGGCATATATATTTTTGTGGTAACCGATTATGGTAGTGCCAGCTTAATAGAATGGATCTATTCGGAACGGTCGTGGAGGATGTTTGAAATCGCCGGCGCTTAGTGCTTTTTGTTTTGTTTTTAAGTCCAGTCAACATCCTCCAAAGGCGCTGAGCCAGTAGATGATTTTTTTGCAGGATCTAAAATGGTTTGTTTCACCGACGACCTCATTGCTCTACGAAATGTTGTCACATAGGGCAAGAGCGCTAGCTGTTAATACCTCGAAGTGTCAGTTCATTGCTTGTAGCTAGAGATTAGGGACTGTTTTCAAGAGATTTACACTGTTCCAATATCATAACTGAAAATAATATTTTAAAAATAGATGCAAGTCGTTTCGAAATGCAGGGAGTGAATGTGTATGCATGTGGAATAAGTAATTTAACTTATGTTAACCGACAATAAATACCGGATTTTAAACGACCCCTATTGTTTAGTTTGACAAAGTTTTTGATTGAACTCACAATAAAGAAAATTATAATTAGTACACAATTATAAATGTAAATGATAACTCTTAACAATGAAGTGCTAAGTGTAAGTTACTTGCGTTTTAGCTACACAAATACATTTTAATGCGCAAATTCATCATTTAGCGAAATGACAAAAATAATAGAAGTAAAATGCCCAACCCCCAAGTTAGCCAACGGTCGTAAAAAAAAAGTGAATAATTTCTTCATCGACCGCACCCCCAATTTGGTTTGGCATGAATGAGCGTTAAAAATCGGCGCACATGACTTATAGTGAGCATTGGAAAGGACGGCATCCCTCGCGAGTGTTTGACGCAGAGGAGCAGAGGCGGCTGGCCCCTCGCCAGCAACGGCTGCCGATCGATCGTTCGTTAGCCCTCGCGCCAACCAGTAAGGATTCTTTGCTAGAAACCTTTGGTTTCCCCGGATTGACGCGCCGGCTTAGGTCAACTGATGTCACTGCAGTACCTCTGAGCGGGAAGTCTTAAGATTGGAGACCCGACGGTGGCAGGATTTTCGACACTAGCTATATAGCGCGGTCGAATTCAGTTGTTCAGTCTGTAGGAAAATTCTAGCGACCGGCTGCTCTGATCGGTAGTTTTCTGTGCTTTCTCTTGGCAATTGGGCCACGGTCCATACGCGATCTTTCCTTCAACTTTGTCCTTTCCTCGTCCATAACTTGCACACATCTACACTTCCGTGTACTACACTACCGCTCGTGTCGGGAGAGCAGAGCTTGTTCCGGCTGGGGCGGTGCCCCGCTGTTGGCAGATACCTGGTTGGAGAAAATGCCGCTAGCCGACGTGTGAAGGGGGTGGGATCTCGCCATCCAGCAGCGGCAGATCACCTCCACCTCTACCTCCCCCGTTAACAACTGGCACCACAGTAACAATGACAATAGCAGTTGGCGCGCCCGTAAACACTAATCAACCGAATCGCCCGTGGGCGTAATGACTGAGAAAATGCAGGGGGTTCGCTCCAGAGAAAACTTTCGAAAGTGTTTTTCTCACCTGTCTTCGTTGGTTTTTGTTTGTTTTTTATGCTAAATTCCAATGTCAGGAATGCCATCGCGAAAAATATCTGCTTCGCACTGAAAATTGGAGAAAAATAGCCCCCTTTCCCGTTTTTTGCTTTCTCGAAATATTCGCTTTATAGAAAATAATTATTTACAAAATTTTGAATACAGAATTCCCTAACATTGCATTATTAAACTTACAGCGCGTATTAAACTGATTAGACGTATAGCGCGATAAGAACGGTGCCATTTTGGTTCTCTGGCCAGAACGGAAGAAGAGCTCTCTCCCACCATATTATCTCGCGACGGTGCTCAACTTCCACTGCATCACGTTTAAAATCGACTGTTGGAATAAATAATTTTGCATTATTAAATGATTTTTTTCTTAATTTTCTGTGTGTGAAATTGACTTTTCTCAAGGTGGCATACCTCAATTCCGAATTTCACCATCCCAAAGACAGAACCGCTGAGGAGGGGGAAAAACTTCGGATTTTCCCCCCTCAATAGGCCCCCTTTTGAGGACCAATTGACTGAACTAAGTAAGTCTAGATCACGTCGTCCTGGTCTCTCTGGGCTTGTTTCCTAACTGCTTGGAGTGAATATTTTGTTCAAGAGAGGAAAACCAACCTAAGACCTTGCAGTCCCCTCTTTGGAGGGTGTTGCACTGTAAATTAATAGATCAATTTTCGTAAAAATTGAAACGTTTAATAAACTATATAATTTTGTGAATCCATACTGTTCGTATGAATGTTGATCGTGCCCATTTTTACGATGGTTTTAAGTAATTCAGGTTATTTCAATATGAATGCGCGATATACGCCACCTTTTAGATTAGGCTCTAAGAAATGAATAGTTACTGCTTAAAGTGCCCTGCAGATACCGCAACTATCAGATTCTTTTCTCGTGACAGCACGAAAACAAATAAAGAGAAAGACATTCCATAACAAACAAGCTGGCAATGGAAATCACGCCCGGCCTACCCGACAGCAATCGCATCCGGAGCCCAGTTCAGGAATCGGAATGACCAAGAGATCAAGCACGCATATTGTGACCCGTACATGAACTGAATACTACGTGAATACCTTTTTTAGGGCGTTATAATGAAGTTCTGCAAGACGGACCGGGAAATATTAACTAAAATATTCAGTTCTGTATTCAACAGTGACAGGACAAAAATAAATGTCTGTCACTGAATACGTAGAAGTAATAGTAAGAAATCTGTGTTTAGTGAAGGAAAACCGCAACAATAATTTTGAGTGAATGAATGTTATGCCGAACTTCAGTTTTTTCAAAATTCATATCGGGAATCGAAAATGCATCCTTTTGATTTGTTATATATGATCAACCCGGAACAAGCCTGTTGAACACAGCATTAAAATGATTTTATCAAGAAATTGCTCTCATAATCGAGAATTATTTTGTAAAACGATACCTGCAAAATTATCACGACAGAAATTTGAATAAGAAGTACTGGCTGAAATGTTTCTGATTAGATTCGTGGCGCGGGAGTGTACATGGAGAAAAAAGTTCGTGGAGCAAAAAAGGAGACAGAAAATGGAGTCTTTCATGGAAAACATTAAGAAAATATACACGTCAAATTGTTTGTAAGTTGAATTCGCATAAAATGCGTTGGTAATTATGCATTGGGCAGACTCAGGATGTGTTTGGGTTAGGTTTTATGTTAACGCGAGGGCCGAAGGCTCGAACCTCGTCCTCAATTTGGAAGTGCGTAGCAAAGCGTCACTTTTTGTGGGGAAGTGGGGCGGTCACGCGCACTCATTCTCGG